AGTGGCACTATCTCTGCCTGCTCTCCCACTTCAATGGGAGCTCGGCCAGCCTTGGAGCAGCTCTAAGCAAACTGAGGAGCTGCTAAAAGAAAACATATGTTGCGCGTGTGCGCACACGCGTACACTTAAAGAGGACGGTTCTTTCAGATGACAGGACAAACACGGATCTTCTTCTTACAAAAGCAGCCGGATTTCATTGGTGGGTAATCCAACATCAAGTCATTTTACACTGAGGGGGGGGACGCATTACTGCTTTTCACTCTCATTGTTGCTCGATTTTTGCAAGTCGAGGCCATTGTTTTCCCAGCACATTCTTTTTAATCGACATTTTATTTTTATCTGGGCGTCAAATGCCTCTGTAGAGACGCACAAACACTAGCAGCTTGCTGAACTGCTCCCTTTGGGCCAAACACTCCTCCCTCTCCGACTTATCCCTCTTGTCTATCTCTTTCTTCACCACCATCTAGCTCTTCCCGCCTCTCGCCAGACCTCAGCCAGCAGAGCGAGGCTGCCAATTTGTGGGCTATAAAATAAATAGCCCATGCTAATTAAGATGGTTGGATGGGACTGAGGAGTGGAGAGGGGGTAGAGACTGATGCAGAAGCGGCCATAGAGAGCCTGCAAAACAACCTGTTCTCTACCAATTAGACACTTTGCAGGCATGCCGCTGATGAAAGCCAGGGGTACAGATGCCAGGATTTTTCAAGTGTTTCTGAATTTGTAACTACACAGCTTACAGCTGACGTGAGTGAACCTGTACATATAAACATACTTGTAAAAGTTGGCATATGATCCCAAAGGGGGGCTGTGCATTTGAATATGTTTGCCTTGTGAGCATATTTATCTTGCACACGACCTTTGCTTCTGTTAAACCCAGGATGAAAGGCAGCGGCAGCCCCCAAGGTTGACTTCCAGTGAGCCGGGGCCTATAATCACAGTGATAAACAGCCTGCATTCTTTGCATTTCCCTTCATTGACATGCACGGGCGTGAGTCTCCCGTTTCCCCGTCCGTTATCGGAGCATCTGTGTATCATCATTAACGTTACATGTGTTAGCCAACACAATGTTTTCCCAACTAATGCCGTGCGTGTTGATAAGCTGCGCTAATCAGCTAGCTTTGTATCTCTCTTTCTGCTCGGTCCTCTCTCTCTCACTCTCTCTCACTCCAACAAACAGAGCTGCTAATTGATCTCAGAGCCCATTCTTGGCAGGAGCCAGCACCACAGTAGTCAAAACACAGAGTGAATTCAAAGCTTAACGATGGTCTGGATCCACTAAGAAAGTGATGGCGCACCCACGGTGCTCTTCTCTGCAGGGGGGGATAGCACTGGGTGAAAAATATTCATATGAAAAAGTTCGACCCTGGCCCCGATTTGCTCTCTGTCCACGCTTAGACCTTTCTTGCTAGATTCCCTGTGAGTGTTCAGCAGTTCTTTCCTATCGCCAAAGGGCCCCTAACACGCCTCATTTATAATCAGTCCTGGCTAATAGATGAGACTGGGAAATACCAAGCTAATCGTGGAAAGAATGTAGCAGATTTAACTAGCCTATCAGGGGGGAATGTGTGTGTGCGTGTGGACCGGTTTGCGTATGTCGAGGTGTGTCGCTTTGATCTCGTAAATGGACCCACACTCCACCAGCTGCCCTACTGTGATGGTGACACGCACAAACCCAGACATACAAGCACAAACACACACTCGCTCAGATTAAAAGGAAGGAGGAACCTTGCTGGGCTATTTATCATGTCTCCTGGGGTCACGGGGGGCTGTCCCATAGACTGCTGCTAGGGTTAATTAATAAAAGGAGTCTGTCGCACCTACCTGGCCACTACTCACTCTCTAGATATGCTGTTCTCCTCTGCCTTCTTCCAGTCTAAACAAAGGAAGGCAGCAACCCAACAGGAAATTCTCTTTCTTGCTATGCTTCGGTCTGATAAGACAGACATCCCCTGATAATATTTTTGATTTAACATACCGGGCTCTCACCTAAAATTACCCAGAGGTCCTATTTTTAAGTATTAAGGGAGGAACATGACTAACTGCATACTACTGTGGTGCTGAAAGCGTTTCCTCAGCTAGAGCCCTGCTAAGTGGATTGAAATAATTTTCTCCACAACTAGCACATCAGAGGTTATAATAGCTGGTTCATACCCTTGCTGTGGATTGCCATCTGACAATAAACCAACACTTGAAACAACATTTGTTAAATCAGCGCTTAGCAAATTATGCCCATGCTTATTGTCTAATAATTCACACCAGATGAAAACTGCTACAATTATGGAACATATGGGACTATGATTCATTGGTTTTGAATGAAGCATATTGCTTGCCATATTGCATTTGCATAATTTGATGCTCTAATGCCTTGACTAAATCACAAACAAACCATGAAATTAGATGGAGGGGCTCTTTCTTGCTTCATTATCAGAATTATTCCTCCAGCTTTTATAGCGTGTTGCACCGCGTTTGATAGATTTGACAAATTAGGGGACTGGGACAGCGTTCCCTCAACTTAAAGCAAGATGTCAAAAACTACTTTAAGGTGTCAGCTCAGACATTTTAAATGTAATACCAATGCAAATAAGAACAAAAGAAAGATCATCACAGAGTAAGCTTGCTCGAAAAAGGAGGAAAACACAACTTTGAATTCCGGGCAACTAAGTTTCCAATGGTTTAGCGAACCACAGCTGATGCAAAAAGTGCTTCAAACTGCAGTTCCAATAATGGCCACTTGAGGTTGTCTTCAAAAAGCGAGCCTCATACATCAGTGATAAAATGTCAAAGGTAAGAGAAGAAATAGGCATGTCAACAGCCAAAAAACATTTTGGATCTCTA